AGCCATAGCAAGATAATCACAAAGATCATTGGATCAAAACGATGGAAGATGAGATGAAGTCACTCCATGAGAATGGCACATATGAGTTAGTGAAATTGCTGAAAGGTAAGAGAGCTTTATCTAACAAATGGATATTCAGAATAAAGCAAGATAACCATACCTCTGCGCCTAGATACAAGGCGAGGTTAGTTGTTAAAGGTTTTGTCCAGAAGAAGGGAGTTGACTTTGATGAAATTTTCTCCCCTGTTGTGAGATGTCTTCTATTCGTATGGTTCTAGGCTTAGCCGCAAGTCTAGATTTAGAGGTTGAGCAAATGGATGTCAAGACTGCTTTTCTTCATGGTGATTTAGATGAGGAGATTCATATGGAGCAACCTGAGGGTTTTGTAACTAAGGGAAAAGAAAATTATGTCTGCAGATTGAAAAAGAGCCTGTATGGATTGAAACAAGCTCCAAGGCAATGGTATTTGAAGTTTGAATCTGTCATTGAAGAACAAGGGTACAAGAAAACTTCTTCAGACCACTGTGTATTCTTCCAAAAGTTCTCTGATAATGATTTTATTATTTTATTGCTTTATGTGGATGACATGCTTATTGTTGGAAAGAATAAATCCAGAATTGCAGTCCTTAAGAAGCAGTTGAGCAAATCGTTTGCGATGAAGGACTTGGGGCCAGCAAAGAAAATCTTGGGCATTCAAATCCACCGACACAGAGATAGAAATGAGTTATTTTTGTCCCAAAAGCAATACATTGAGAAGGTACTCAAGAGGTTCAATATGACATATGCAAAAGTGGTTAGTACTCCTCTTGCTAAACACTTCAAATTGAGTATTAGTCAGAGTCCATCTACTGATGAAGAGAAAAAGGAGATGTCCCGTATTCCTTACTCTTCTGCCGTTGGTAGCTTGATGTATGCTATGGTTTGCACTAGACCAGATATTGCACATGCCGTTGGCACTGTTAGCAGATTCATTTCCAATCCTGGAAAAGAACATTGGGATGCAGTAAAATGGATATTAAGGTATTTAAAAGGTACTGCAGATTTGAAGCTGTGCTTTGGCAATGGCAAGCCTGAACTTGTTTGTTACACAGACTCTGATTTAGGAGGCAATCTTGATAATTCAAGATCCACTTCCGGTTATTTGATCACTATTGCAGGGGGAGCTGTTTCTTGGAAATCTAGACTACAGAAGTGCATAGCTCTATCCACCACAGAAGCCGAATATATTGCTGTCACAGAAGGTGCCAAAGAACTATTATGGATGAAGGAGTTTATTAATGATCTTGGCTTTGAGCAGCCACGGTACATCTTATTTTGTGATAATCAGAGTGCTATCTGTCTCACCAAGCACTCCACTTTTCATTCTAAGACCAAACATATAAATAGAAAGTATCATTGGATAAGAATGGCCGTGGAAGAGAAATTATTTGAGGTTTAGAAGATACACACTGATGAAAATCCTTCGGATATGCTGACAAAGGCGGTGGTTGCAGATAAACATGAATTTTGTAGAAAATTGGCAGGCATGAAGCCTGTCAATAGTTCCTCTACTTGAAGACACATTTGACCCCTTGGCTGGAGGGGGAGTTTGTTGGGCACATGCCCATGTTGTCCAGCCAAAGGCCCAATGGCCTAATCCTATTCTCTTTTGGTTTCCAATCCTATTTGGAATTGGATTCGGTTTATTCCTATTTTGAGTGGGTTTTGGCTTTAAGAGAAAGCACCACTCATGATCTATAAATAGGACAACCTTGGAGAATTATTCTATGCTCATTGATACAAGTCTTTGAAAAAATTAAGCACATAAGAGTGGGTTTTGAGAGAGCTTTCATCAAGAGAGAAGAGAGAAAAAAAGTATTTGTTTTGCTGTAGATTTTTATTCCGACCAGCCAATTTCAAATCACGTTTTCCGATTCGTTAACCGTTGGATCAGGCTGAAATTTTGACTGAGTGTTCGTAACATCTTGGTCTTAGATTTGAATGGTGAAGATCAGATTTGGAGGCTCGTAGCATCTGATTTCGAGCCTCGAACAGCAGTTTCATTTTGTGGATTATACTCTTTCTTCAATTGATTAGTTGTTGCTCTTGTTGCTCCGTATTTGGCCCTTGTTGTGTAGCCAATTTGGAGAACTTTTGTAACCCTCTTATTGTTATAGTGGAGCTTTTTGGATCTTTGTGATCCCGTGATTTTTACCTTCGATTTGAAGGGCTTTCCACGTTAAAATTTGGTGTTCTTTATCTTCTTTATTTTCGGGTTTGCCTCTTCCTCGACATATCACGTTTTAGATCCTCCAAAAATATATTCGTTTTGGAAGATTTGATATACACACGATATTTTTAAAGAATCCAAACAATATAGATTAACACTTATTTAGTTAGGAAATACAGTTGCGTTAGGTAGCTTCATATATGTTGTTTAGCTTGTATATACGTTTCTTTTCGTCTTCCTTTTGCTTTCTCTTTTAATTTGTTATATTATTATACCATTCGAGCCAAGTTGTTAGGAAATAGCTCCTAATATCCCAATAACTATGTCAAGGGGAAGTTAACAAAACAAATTTTAAACGACGACGTTAAATCAGATAACAAAAGAAAAATACACTGTTAATAAGAAAGGGAAATTAACGGCAGCATATATCCTCTGTAATTGGAACTTGATCATTAACTAAAACCCAACCTATAGCTAGGCGTGCTCAACTTGTTTTCTCAATATATAAAACAAAATTTATTACATTAGGATATCAGTAAAAAGAAAAGAAACGACAGTAAGAATTAAACCGACACTTATAGAGTGGGAAACATCGAACCGACACCACTAGACTTTAAACCTTAGTACGTAATAGCATTTTTCCTCTACTATTTTTCATTTTTATGATTCGATTTAGACAACAGATCCTGACGCGATACACATCTTCGTAACGAAAATAGAATGCAAATATGGTCTTAAACAGATTCATCTCCTGTTACAGCTTAATTTGAAAATTTTATCTCAGATAGGTCTTTGTCAACATGTTCAACTTCTTCAGTAGTGCTCAATATTTTTGAGGATTTTTGTTCCTTAGTCGTACCCCATATTACTAGGTATAATCCAATTACAATAACAACAGCTCCAACAACCCTACATTCAAGCACCACCAAATGTCAGGGATTTTTATATAAATAGTCGTTGGATGCTATGTTTGCTTTTTCAAGTCGGTATACATAGATTATACATGAATTATACATGATGATATACATATTATACATGGATTATATATATATTTTATATCCGCCGGCTATTTTTTGTTTAAGTGGTTGAGTGGCGTCTAAGAAATTTCAAAAAACGTCCTTCAATATAAGAATATTTACGCTAACAGATCATTTGTTACTATATAAAAATATTTACGATAAATATTAATTGGTATCCTGATTTTTACGGGATTGTTAAATAAATAGCGTTCAGATTCACCTTTTACATTTTTAGCCGGTGTACATAAATTATACATTGATTATATATTGTTATACATAAATTATGCATCCGCATGCTATTTTTAGTTTAAGAAATTAGATAGACGATTATTTGAGTTAATTCTTCAAATTGTAACTAACATACTATCACACGTTAAATGAGAAGGATAATATAAAAAGTGTTAGTGCATATAACTTAAATTCATAAAAAGAAATTAAAAAAAAAGGCAAATAATTATTAAAATTACCTTCCCAAGTTAAGTTGCTCAGATAAAATGAATGAACCCAAAATTGCAACAATAACCATATTGAGAGGATTAAAAGCAGTGACAAAAACTGGTCCTTTGACGTTCATTATTAATCCTGAAACATAATAGCCAATTCCAGAATTCACTATTCCCTGCAAGTAAAATAATGACTATATTATATATCTGATAACAAGAATTATAATTCAGTATAATTAGTAATAAAAAATGAATTAGTAATTTTCAAAAAACTTACACAATAAACAGATGCAATTAATTTACTACTTCCCCATTGAATAGACCAGACTGCAGAATTTCCTCTTTCAACCACAAGTGTAAGTGCAGTGCCTTGTAAAGCCCCAGCCATACATATTAAAGAAGTGAGGGACAGTCCTGCTGGGTATGCCTTCAATGTAATCATCTGTTTCATTTTATATGACGATGTTTGATTAGACATCAAGAGTCGTCATGTATAGAGGTTAATTAGAACGGATTTAACTTATATACATTATAGTGTTAAATAGTTTTAACACTTTTGAATATATTTTTACCTATTTGTAGCATATTACAATTTACATTATATATATGATCATACAATTCAACATATTACAAAAACAATAACAAATTCAGTATGATTTTGTAAGTGAAGTCGGGGGGAAATAGGGTGTACACAGACCTTATCCCGACAATTCAACACATTATAGAAGGATACTTGTCTTAAGCTTTACCTTACTACTTACTTAATTTGATTGGAAGTTCAAAAGGATTAGGCGAAATAATCAAGATGATGTTTTGTACTTGAATGATTATTAAGCTATGAAGTGTACACCACTATGGTTTTGGAGTTTGTTTGTTTGGATAAATTGGGAAATTGAATTTTTAACTTTGCGTTGTCTATTAAAATTTCTTAATAGCTGAAAATTGGTGTTAGGCATTTTGAAATATTTGTTGAAGATACCTTTTGGTACTTTCTGAAGGGAATTTCAAGTTTAACCAAAAAAGGAACTATATAAAGTGCACGTGCACTCGGAGGCGGACCTGTGCTGTACAGAGAGCGTTCATTGGTACTCATAAAGTTTGACAAAAATTTCATTATACTTGTATATGTCTTTAGAAAATAGTGATATATTAGTAACGGTTACTTTATATACAAGGTAGATTTTGGTTGAATTTAAAAGTGCGATCACGATCTTCATATCCTGGGTCCGATTATGCATGCATTAATGAAAAAAATCTCAACCACGAAAGAAGGATTGTGGTATGATGGATAGAATTTATTCACCCTTAACTAAAAGTTTGGGTTTGAGTCCAGAGAATAAAATAATATCGGTAGGAACTAATAAAGGGCACATGCATTAACAGAGAAAAATTCCCTAACCACCCAAGAAAGAATTATGGTATGATGAATAGAATTTATCCACCCTTAACTAGAAGTTTCGAATTTGAGTCCTGAGAACGAAAAGAATATCGGAAGGAACTAAAGTGAACATGCATTAATAAAAGAAATCCTTAACCACCCAAGAAAAGATTATGGCAATGATGGATAGAATTTATCCACCATTAACTAGAAGTTTCGGGTTTAAATCCTGAGAATAAAAAAATATCGGAAGGAGCTGAAGTGCACATGCATTAACAGAAAAAAATCCTTAACCACCAAAGAAAGAATTATGGTATGATGGATAGAATTTATCCACCTTTAACTAAAGGTTTCGGATTCAAGCTTAGTTGGAATTTAGATTAATCGGAATTTCAATATGAATACTGGGCACTGAATGGCAAACCAAAAAAATTGCATGAATGAATGCTAGATCATTTCTGCTTCTACGTTATTTCACCTGCATGTTACGTTTAAGATAATTAGGTAAATTAAATTTGTATTTTACCACCTATACTATTATTCTATTTTACACGCTCAATTCTTCGTTTTACATACAGCTTCCTATCAAGCTGCTAGTCGTGAGCTTCAGCGAATCTATGGAAAAAATGAAGTGACAAAACCATCTTGACTTGTAGACTCTTTTGCTCTTGAGGTCCACTGATGGAGCATGTTCCTCCATTTACTGCTTATTATATTCTATGCTCAATTGTTGTTATGTGACTTGATGGAATAGTTGGTTTGGGTCAAGGGATATTTCGGAATGAGTTGAGACACTTAGTCTCAAGGTTGGGAGCTTAAGTTGAAAAGGTTGACCGGATATTGACTTATATGTAAACGACTCCGGAATGGAGTTTTGATTGTTCCAATAGCTTCGTATGGTGATTTTGGACTCAGGAGTGTGTCCGGATAGTGATTTGGAGGTCCGTAGTTGATTTTGGCTTGAAATGGCGAAAGTTGGAGAATTAAAAGTTTGGAAAGTTGAGAAGTTTGACTGAGAGTTGATTTTGTAGTTACCGGGCTCGGATTTTGGTTTCGAAAGTTGAAATAGGTCCGTTGTGTCATTTATGACTTGTGTGCAAAATTTGAGTTCAATCGGAGTTAATTTGATAGGTTTCGGCATCAATTGTAGAAGTTGGAATTTCTTAGTTTTCATTAGGCTTGAATTGGGGTGCGATTCTTGTTTTTGATGTTGTTTGATATGATTCGAGGTCTCGACTAAGCTCGTATCGTATTTTAGGACTTGTTGGTATATTTGGTTGAGGTCCCGGGAGCCTCAGGTGGATTTCGCATGGTTAACGGATCGAATTTGGCTTAAGTGTTATGCTGAGGTGCTACAGTATGGTGTCATCGCACCTGCGGTGGGATTGGCCGCAGGTGCAGAGCCGCAGAAGCGGCTAAGCTTGCGCGGCTGCAAAGAGGAGGAAGGTCATTGGGTCGCAGGCGCGGAAAAGTTTCCGAAGATGCGGATGCGCATCTGCGCATGGGCGACCGCAGAAGCGAATTTGGGCAGGCAGCATTGGGTCGCAGAAGTGAGGGAAGGTTCGCAGGTGCGGTCCCGCAGGTGCGAGAGGTCGGCTGTTAAGTGAGTTTCGCAGCAGCGAGGATTTCTCCGCAAAGGCGGAAGCGCATGTATGAGCCCAGGCTTCGCGGGTGCGGAAATGCATGGACAGTGTATATAATTCAAGGGTTCTACTATTTTATCATTTTTGGACTTTGCAAACTCGGATTAAGGCGATTTTTGAGAGGATTTCAAGAGGTTTTTTGAGGTAAGTCACTTGAGATCATTTTATATGCAATAATATTGTTTACCCATTGATTTTCCCACCTAGTTGTGTTTTTGAGGTGGAATTTTGGGAGTTACAGGCTAAGGATTGGAGAGTTCAATTTGGGGATTTGAGTGAGGATTTGAGGTCAGAATTTGATAAATTTGGTATGGTTGGACTCGCGGTTGAATGAGCTTTCGGATTTTGTAACTTTTATTGGATTTCGAGATGTGGGCCCGAGGTTGACTTTTGAGTTGACTTTTTGACTTTTGATTAAGAACTTGGCATTTTCATATGGAATTGATTCCTATAGCTTGAGTTGATTGTATCAAATTGTTTGTGGCTAGATTTGAGGCATTTGGAGGTCGATTCGCGAGGCAAGGGCTTGTTGGAGTAGAGATTTGCACGATTTGAGGTAAGTAACACTTCTAAACTTAGTGCTGAGGGTATAAATCCCTGAATTACGTGCTATATGATTGGTGTTTAGGTGATGCGCATGCTAGGTGACGGGCGTGTGGGCGTGCACTGTAGTAATTGTGGTGCAGCCAGTTCTGTGGATCTATGTGTTAGAGCGCTTGAGTTGTGATTTATGTTAGAAAATATGTTTAGGCTATGTGCTAGTGCTATTGGGACCCACAGTAGTCGTTCTTTGCTGTTGAGTTATTTTCTTAATTGCAGTTATGTACTCAGTCACATCCATCATTGCATATCATATCTCAGTCTTTGTTATCATACATTATCACATCACGTATTATTGATTTGGGCTGCTTAGCATAAGTGTTGTGAGCCCGAGAGACTTGATGACTGAGTGAGGCCGAGGGCCTGTTTGTGAGTGATATTTATGGGATCCTGATCACGCCCAATTATGCCTTATAAAAAGAACTAAGCGGTCGCTGCAAATACAATCTGGTTTAAAAGTCCGGAGTCGAATCCCACAGGGAGTTAACGTACTAATCACAACTGCTAGTTTCGCAAGAATTCAGGTAATCAACTTCCAAAACTATTGAATAGTGAGTTGAGTGTTTACTAACTAACAACAAGATAATTAAAAATCTGTAATTTTATTACTAACAAAGCAAATACCGTAGACAAGATTGGAAAGGTCTAGGGTTACGATTTTCCCTCTTATCGGAATCCTCTCTGTTATGTCCCCAATAAATTTGCCTAGATACTCTATACCGATCGTGAGCACTTTCGGTGTCGTAATTCTCTTCCGAGCAAATACAATAATTTACTAACGTATTCTTCCGAACTACACTAGCTAGCACTAGTTTACCGCTCACTAAGATCGCACCAAGGTTTCGTTATTCCTAATCCCACCACTAAACCCTCCGTATTGATCCCTCATATACGTTAGGAGTGATGTTTTTCACAACTACCTAAATATGTACCCTTTTCCAAGTAATACAGACTAATTAGGCATAGCCGATTGAGGGCCCTTCAATCAACCACAATAATCCCGTAGTTGAACAAGTAGAGAAAATCCGATGGCAAATTTATATTAAACGCAACAAAAATTCATCCTCCAAGAGGTTCTAACAAACCCTAGAATAAGGAGTTTAGCTACTTATAATTATTTTCACAACCACAATATAAGAATTCATCACCAATAATAGAAAAAGGGAAGAAGAAAGATAAAAACTCGTTTCCGAATCTTCCATCTTGCTCCTTGCCTGTTCCTGCCTTCAAAATTCTTCTAAAAACTAAGATACCCTCTTTTTGGATGAGCTAGGCTTCATATAGGTCAAGGGAAGTCGCCTCCGGAAATACAATTTTAGCCCTGGAATATTTTTTTCTCGGAAGGACGTGCGCGGCCGCGCACTTTAGCTAGATTCTACTTGACTTGCGCGGCCCAGTGCGCGGCCGCGCACCTGGGCAATTTTCTGCACTCTTCTTCGTTCTTCTTTTTAAGTGCGCTAACCTCCTTTGATCCTCGAACAAATTCCAGTTTATTCCATAAGCTTTTACTTGGC